ATTTGGGTGGAGTCTGGATAGGAATTCAGACAGCTCTGAAGCTGGAAAACATCCCTGTGGGTATAGGAAGGCATCATCCTTCCAAACTTGTCTGTCTAGGGCTGAGCTCACGTATATGAGAACAAGAGTTGTTAACAGATTAGTTGATTTGGCCATGGCAGATTGAAGCCTAACAATGCAAAAGGTTTTAAAAGCTCCTACATTTGGTCTTTTTTAATAAAAATTATTTGTTTTTTGTAGCAGAACCAGTATTTTCTTCTTATCATAAAAGACCATTTTCCAGAAACACAGGGAAAAAAAAACACAAGGAATCCAAAGCCCCTTCACTCCCAAGCCACGTGTGCGGTGGGGTTTCACTAGGGGTTTCAGTAAAAGCAGGAAATACTGTGGGGACTAGCAATGCCAGAATCTTCTTTGGAACTGGAACCCAGGTGGTGGTAAAGCCCAGTAAGTGGCCCTGTTCTATTTATACTTGACCAAACAAATAAATCCTGTGAAGTTACTAGAGCTTTAATTTAATATGTAGACAAATGTGCCTTTTGAAAAATGACTTTTGCAAACGCATGAAACATTCATGTTTGTTGAGAATAGAGCAATAATGATGAATGGATGCAGAATGAGACCATCCCAAATTGCCTTTAATATGGTAGCTCAGCTCCTCTTCTTAAAGAGATACTGGAGTCATCAGTTATTTACAGCCGCAGTATCTCTGAAACTATTCTCTGCAATGATTTGTGTGTTTGCTGTGATGTTGCCCACAGAACTTGTCTTCCATTCTACTAAAAATGAGAATCTATCTCATTTTAAATGCTCCTCATGTGGATAAGGTAACTTCTTTGTCGCTCACGCCTGCATATGTATTTATTTCTAAAAGATCCAATATAAAACCCAAACATTATCCCAGTTTGACAAAGGTCCACATCTAGTCCTATACATGTCAAATTTCACTAAAAGCATAGATTTACTATTCAAATGCAATGGGAGAAAGAAACAACTGAGATAAATTGATGATCCCAGATGGCTTATTAACACCTGAAAGGGAATTCAGAGTGAAATAAAATGGCAGGCATGATGACAGGATTTTTGTTTAATGATCAATTCCTCCATGGGGAGTAAAAACTTTTTGAACATGCCTCAATGGGGAGGAGGGAAATAATGAATTCAGGAGCCTGGCATTCCTGGGGGCGCACCTGGCATGTCAGTTTCTTCACAAGACATTTTGGAAACAAAGCGACTCATCCAAATGTCTAGTCAAAAAATAATAGTAAGAGGCAGGTGTTGTCAAGTTGACTGAATGAGTTATTAAACTCTACATTAGGTTATAACCGAAACTATGGACTGACCAACTGACCAAAGAGCTTTGAAATAGAATGGCCTAATCTTTAAATGGTTTAACTGTGGGAAATGACCAAAGACAAAGAAACAAGTTAGAGGACTCCGTAACTTTGCTCTGGGCTATTTGCTGGGCTCTACTGAGTCACTTCAGTCATGTCTGACTCTTTGCCACCCTATGAACTGTAGCCTGCCAGGGTCCTCTGTCCATGGGGTTTCCCAGGCAAGACTACCAGAGTAGGTTGCCATGCCCTTCTCCAGGGGATCTTCCTGACCCAGGGATCAAACTCACGTCTCATGTCTGTTGCACTGGCAAGTGGGTTCTTTACCACTAGCACCACCTGGGAAGCCCAGGTTTGCTTTAGATCTAGCAAATATGACCAATCCATGCTAATCCTTTTTAACAACTGTGATAAAGACATTTTCGGGGTCAGGTGGTCAATGAGGAGAAAACAATGGGGTTTGGTTTTTTATGGGTCAAACAAGGATTCAATTACTGGTGGTAATGCCATCCAGTGTCCATCTCTTAGTGGTGAGAAAACATAGGCATGGACTGTGAAAGAACAGCATTCCCTGAAAGGCTAGAGTCCTTCTGGGCCAATGGATGACCCGCACTGCCATTCGCTAGGGCAGGTCTATAGTCAGTGTAGCAAACATGTGCTTGACCTCAGGTAAGGTTATCTTCAGGGTTAGGTGGTACGGCCCCTCTAGAACAGAGCCCAGGGTGAGGTGAGGGCTCTGTGAAACAGTTCTGTCTCAGGTGAAATTCAGATATGTGTCTTACATAGCCCCTTCCTGCCCCCATCTTTCTTCAGGCTCTGAGGAGTGGGTTTCGAGCTCCATAGCTGTCTGCTCAGTCGTTTTTCACCTGCTACCACAGAATTGTTTTAGATATCACAAAGGAATTCATTGAATTGTTGCTTTTATCATTCACTCTCAGTGTCAAATGAGGTCGTCCAATTTCCTCTCTGCATATTTGCAACAAGCAGCATAAAATTGAAGCAAAACAACCAGGAGACACAGAGAAAGATAACAGAAGAGATAACGAGGCCTATTTATTATAGTAGAAAGGAAAATGTCCCATGAAGGTGAGATAGCCATCAAGCTTTCCTGAAGAGTCACTGGGAGTTTTTGTTGTGGCCCCAATCACAGTGTGAACAAACCGCTAGCAAAATTGTCTTTGGAAGAGGGACTCAGCTTCATGTTCTCCCCAGTAAGTGCTGTTCATGTGATTTTCTGATATTGACTCCCATTGACTGAAAGTGGTTTGGTGTTGGGTGGGAAAAGCTTCTTCGGCTCTACGACATGTGGGTAGCCTCCAGTTCCTGAGTCCTACAGAGAGGCCCAGTCCTTGACCCTTCCACAGCTTAGCCAGATATCAAATTCTTTCCCCTCTAGAGCTTGAAAAGTTGCTGCCAATGCTTTTGGTGCTTAAATATTAATTATCCTTTCCACAGTTTATACATTTAAAGAGTCAAAAATTGTGAAACTTTGTCAAGGGTCATTTTCAAGTTTCCCTTCCCCCACCCAGGCTGCTCCCCACCCCTTCATGGACTTTGTTTGGATACATCATTAAATCCAGGATGATTTCAGACTTCAACAAAGTGGCTTTGGAAATGACCCCAGCCTATCTATGACCCCCTCCTCTTCTGTTCTTCATAAAAAACCCACTTTCTCTGTTCAGCCTCTGCTAAAATTCCTGGCTCTGGTGCCCCACGCCTTCGCATTTCCTTTGTTCCAGGGATGAATAGGAGATAACTTTTTTAAGAGCTACTTTAATGCCAGAGGCAACAAAGATGGTGTGTCAGCCAAGAACAACATCTTGGGTTGAGCCTTTTCACTCTGTGCCATTTTCCAAATCCTTTTCTTCATTTAGGTAAAGCAGCCACTCCTATTTATTCCTAGCACAGCAAAGAGTTCATTATGAGGCCAGAGACAGGGGTTTCCTTTGGAATATGTTTCACAGGCTAACAATAGCTGGAAGTTTGCAGATGGTTCACAAATGCATTCTCAGGCCACAACTCCATGTATGGAAGCCAGTATGGGCTTCTAGGGAGAAGGAGGCAAAGACATGCAAAGGGAAAACAAAAGCTATGGTTTAGTGGGGAGATTTCTGGCTGACTTCACACAGGGAAAAAGATTACCATGAAGAAACACTCAGAAAACCCCCAAGGCCAGGCATTCAGAGTTTTTGTGAGGGAGGCAATCACTGTGGGGATTTAGGAGACAGGCGACTTGTCTTTGGAAAAGGCACAAGACTTGCTGTGACTCCAAGTAAGTGTCCCTGGCCATCCCTGTCAGCAATAGCATCTATGCTTAAATGATTTTTCAGTGAACCTGTGAATGCTTTTTTCCCCAAGAAAAGTCTAGTAGGAGCTGAGAAGTTGGTACTCGGCAGGAAGATGAACAGGTTACTCTGACATAATTCAAAACTCAACCAGACAATCAGGGGCAAGCCCCATACCTCACCCCAGCCTCAGCCTCTCAAGCTGGCTCTGGTCACATATCCTGCCCAGTTCTCTCCCCTGCTCCCAGGAGCTCAAAACCCTAGAACAGAGAAACTGAGATTCCTTAGTCTGGGGAGCACAGGAAAGCTTTTCTGAGATCCAAGAGCCACTTGTAAATATATTGTGGGTTTCTGTCTAATGTTGATATTCATTTTAATTTGTCTAAGTAATATATGAGATTTTCTCATTTTAAAAGCGATCCAAATCACAGATAAAGCCAATATTCACCCTGACCTTCTCTTCCTTCAGTATCAGTTTCCTCCCCAAAGGTGACCCTTGGGACTGGTTGGGTGAGTTGTGATAAGTTTCTCCTTGGAGTATGACATGAAATCTCCTGTCTTCAGTGAAGGCAACTCAAGACATAAAGAACTCAGACTGCAGTTGGCAGATTTCAATTAAATAAAAGGATCGGTTACATCCTTGAATGCAAAGGCTATTGGCAAAGGAGAGTTATCTTCCCAGGAGCTCTTGAAGAATACATTGGTCTTTGGTCAGAGAACTCCTTGGCTGAGGACAGGAGGATGGACCAGGTGACCTCTGAAATCCAGCCAGGTCTCTGTAGGACTCAGGGATGGTCCACCTCATGGCAAGTGTCTGTAACAGCCCTTCTCTTCTGCCTGTCCTCTGGTTATTGTTTTAGCCTGAGCTTTTGTCAACACTGCTCCTATACTGTGAACGGTTTGATTTTTCTCAGCATCTGTGGGGTTTTTGCAAAGAAAGGAAACTCTGTGCCTACTCTGGGGTTGGGAGTTACCAACTCACCTTCGGGAAGGGCACCAAACTCTTGGTCACACCAAGTAAGTTCTTCTTTCTGGCTAATTATTCTTCCCAAGATGCCTGCCTTCCATCATGCAGAAGCTGTCAAAACACAGGTGGTGTTTTCTTTGCTTGGTTTGTGTTGGGTGGTTCATAATACCAGTTGGAAAACAAGGTTATTAATGCACATATCCTCTGGGGCATTGTACTTGGCTTTTAAGATCCATGTAGTTTCTCCCAGAGAAAATATGTGAACCTCCACAAAGAGGAAGGCTCAGAGAAAGCCGAGGGGAAGGGGGGAGGCAGGAATTGGATGAACACAGATAAAGGGCTTGCAGGAACAACAAACAAGAGGGGATCCCAGGAGAACATGCAATAGCCACCTTGAGTGAACTTCCCAGGAGTTGCTCCTGCCAAGGCCCATTCTCTCAAGGAAAATTATAGCAAATAGAATTGGACTGGGAAGTTGCTAGTTATTAGTATTCATCCCACATTCTAACCTAATTACAAGGAGATTGTTTTGGCCATGGGCAGTCATTTCAGGTTTTGTTTTCCTGCTTGCCTCCTCCACCTCCACCTGTCTTCCTAGAGGCCCAAGTCAAGGTTATTGCAATAGCACTGAACACTGTGTAACACCGGTACAGGCAAATTAACCTTTGGGGACGGGACCGCGCTCACTGTGAAGCCAAGTAAGTTGTGTTCTTCTTTGGCTGTGCCTTCAGGGGCAATCAATCAAATCGTTAGTTTGAAAAATACTTTAATCCTCTGCATCTGCTTGGGCTCTTTATTAATGTTCTTTCCCCAGGCCAAAGAGAGTTGGTTTCTTTCTCTGCTTTAAAATGAGATATGTGTGTACGCATGCATGCGTGCACGCGCGCGCGCGCGCGCACACACACACACACACACACACACACACACACACACTTGCTCTGGCTCATGGTGAGGGGCTTTCAGAAGCATAGACAGCATTTTCAAAGAAATCAAGATATAAACAATAACTGAGCCAATGGGAAAGTCGGGAAGACCCTCCAGAGAAGACCCCCACCCCAGCCTGGCTTCTCTGCACGTTCTCAGCCAAATAGGGGGCTTTGGCTCTGTCTGATGGTCTAGGGAAGGGAATTCCTCAGCTTCTCTCTGTAATCAATTCTAAAATTTAGCAGCCTTTGCTGCCAGAAATAAAGTACATCTAACTTTGACTACCCATGTGTGCACTGAGATTTAAATCTCTGAAAAGAACCCCTAGAACTTTAGGCATCTAGTTTCCTAAATTCCTATAGTTAAATATGAAATTCAGCACTGAAATCTCATCTCTTTCTGCAGCATCTCTGAGATGCCATGTGTCCCTCAGGACATGAATCAAAATGATTAGGGATTAGGCATTATAGTGTGAGCTTTGGAGACAAAAAAACCCAAATTCAAGTTCTGGCTCCACTACTTTATCAGCTGTGTGATCTTGGACAAATTAATTAACCTCTCTGAGCCTCAGTTCCCTCATTCATAAAATGAGGATAAAAATATCTCTACCTTATTATGCTGTTGAAAGGATCAAATAAAATAATAACAGCTAAAATATTTAGCATAGTGCCCAAAACATAGAAAGAGCTCATTAAACCCTAGCTATTAATAATAATGATAAACATCATCTCCAACACACAGTAGCACTTTTGTTTCACCCCTCAGGCTCTTCTGTCAAGGCTCTGTCATGCATCAGGACAAGAGCTGGCAGGAGGGGAGGGTGGAGAATGTCAGCCTGCTCTATGAAATTTTTCACCTGGGATTGGAAAGTGTCTAAAGGGAAATAGAAAGAACCCTGGCTAATTTGAATACAAAATCATCCAAATGTCAGAGGCAGGGGAGAGATTTCTGCAGAGAGCTGCGTGGTCCGAGCTCCCGGGGCTACACAATAGCCCCTTAGAGCAGAGATGCAGCTCACAGTGTAGTTAGGCGAGGGGTGTAGCAGCTGAAACCTAGCCCCATCCTCTCGGCAAGCTGACCCCCGAGCAACCCCCTCCCAGACCTGGGCTCCCCATGTGGAGGGACAGGGAGAAAGAGAGGATGGCAGCTTCACAGGGAAGAGCTACTTGCCCCCAGATTGTGTCTCTGCTCCTCTAGGCAGTAATGCTCATGAGAGACATGATGCCTGAAGATAGCCCCTAAATGAAATTCTCAGACCCAGGGGTGGAGAATCAGGAGTCTATCGAGGCAAACTGGGCCGGTTAGTATTGAAGAAGAGGGGTGGAGGGTAAAGTGGAAGTCTAGTCATAGCTAAATCTGGGAGAGGACACAGTAAACAAAAGCTGGAGGTGCTGTGTTCCCCAGCTCCCTGCCTGACCCCGCCCTGGGACTCAAACCACAGGACATGGCTAATACTGCAAGAGGAAGGGAGTTAGGTTAGTGGTAAAGCCTTCCTAATAGGTTTGTGAACAGTGAAAATGAGCTGTCAGGAGTAGTTGCCAGGGCACTTTCTCTGGAGGGTTTTTGAAAGGAGATAGACACATTCCTCTCAGGGCTGACTGACGCGCAGCCCTGCCTGGAGGCAGGAGGAGAAAGAGAGACCCTCTAAGCCTCTTCCCAGCCCTGGAGCTGCTCTGTGAAAAAAATTCTGGCTCATTAACTCGGAGCTGCCTCCTTCGGGGGACCAGGGTTGCTGGGTTAAGTTTGGGAACCCTTGCTTGTTGTGTCCCAAACTCCCTTTGTACTCAGACTGAACAGGACAAGCCTCCTAAAGCTAAGAACACAGAGGCTGGGTCGTGGGTCATTGGCGGTGTTGAGATGTGTGAGTTGGGGGGGTGTGGGCTCTGGGGGGCTCTGAGGGGTTTTTGTAAAGCCCAGGGGCACTGTGGGAATAACTACGGCCGGGGTTTGATCTTCAGTGGAGGAACCAGATTGTCTGTGCAGCCCCGTAAGTATGGAGAGGTGAGAGCAGAAACCAGCCTTGCTTGAGGCCTGGGTCCATTGTGACCTTGGAGCCAGGATGGAAAGGAGAGTAAGGAGTGAGAGGGGTGTTTATTCTGGGAGGAAGATCACAGGATCATGTGAATAATACTGGGGGAAGTACATCGGAGGTTTCCCTTCTCAGGAGGGCTTTGTCGGGGGAGAGCTGAGTTGGCAGGTTTTTGATGCTGAGATAATCACTGTGGGGAAAGGCAAGGCTTCTCCCTCGTCTTTGGGAAGGGGACAAGGCTGCTTGTCAAGCCGAGTAAGTGGCATCCAATTTGACTTGTGCTCTGAATATGATAATCTCCAAGAGAAGACCTGCTCTCTTCCCCACGGGGGTCTCCTTGGGCCAGAAAGACATTCTAGGGGCTGAGCAGACCAAGGCCCAGGGCCTGGTCACCTTTCTCGTCTTTGAAGGAGCTCTGGGAGGTGGCAGAGGGGGAGAAACTCACCAGGACCCCACTGACAGCCCAGACTTGGGGTCCGTCCACACTCTCACCTTCCAATAAGTAAAAGCATCTTGATGGCTAATCTTCTTCAGGAGGAGATGCCGGTAGAGTTATGCCCATTTCATACACTTAAAGACAGGCCTCTCAGAGACTGGCATATTCTAACAGGAACGCAACTCAGGGAGATCAGTTTTTCCAGCAGTTGGATTTGAAGCAGCAGGTTATTTAAATGAGAGGGTAGCTGTGGTAACCAGCTTTCACCTGAGTCCAGGTGCTGAGCGCTGGGTAGGGTTTTAGGTAAACTCCTAGACGGTGGGGTTTTATCACTGCAGAACCCAGTCTTCCCTAAGCCTGGTCTTCATTAACCCAAGCAGTGCTACTCCCTGGCCCTGCAGCCTTGGAAGTGCAGCTCCTGGCAACATCATTCTTGGTGTCTTGTAATAAGAGAAATTAGAAGAGAAGCAGGGGAAAAGCTTATATCTCGGATCATGCAGTTCCCTCATTTTGTAGCAAGATTGTTTCCCCACGAGCCATTTGTCTTCATTTAGCTGCTGTCTTCTCCGGGGAAGCCATTTTGTAGAGGTGTTCGTCACAGTGTGACAACTGACGGCTGGGGGAAATTGAATTTTGGAGCAGGGACCCAGGTTGTGGTCACCCCAGGTAAGCCTGATTCCCTGGAGCCTCAGCTGTCCTTAATTCTAACCCGTGTGCCAAGTATTTCTAGCTGAGACCATGAGAGACATATTTGAAAGGAAGCCATTTTGCTGAACAGCAGTACCCAGAGCCATTAAGCAAAAGTGAGAGACCAGTTTGGTGTTAAACAGTAACATTTTTGGATAAACAGGAATTCTCATTATTCCCTATCAGTCCCCTGTGTAGGTACCTGTTTCCCTCATAAGGAAAGAACTTACAGGAGAATGTAGACCCATAATTCACGCCGTGGTGTGGGAGAGATGGGCTGTGGATTCTGGAGGGGGAGGATTAGAAATGTGTTCAGGAAGATTGGATGTGTTTTTGACAGGCTGTATAACACCGTGTGAATTATAACCAGGGAGGAAAGCTTATCTTCGGACAGGGAACTGAGTTATCTGTGAAGCCCAGTAAGTATAAATGTGTATCCCTGGATTAAGCAATGTCTATGGATTAAAGGCTGATTTAGACCCAATTATACACTATCGGAAGAATGTTTAGAAAGGGTGAATGAGCGTCAGGTTGAAGGACAAAAGTCCCCTGGCTAGGATCTGACATCTGTGTGCAAAATGGGCCATGGAGGGGAGTGTCTGGGAATTGCTTCCAGAATATATTCGGTGAGACAGTGATGTGTGACTGATTACTTGAGGTGCTAACTAGGATCTGTAGCCCTAGATTTGTACCATCACCAGTGACAAGACTTCTTCTTCCTTTCCAAGCCTCTAAGGCACTATTCTTTTTGGCTAAGATTATGTCAATTTATAGAAGGAACCTTGTAAATAGTGATCATTGACCAAAGTAACTGCGATTCACCTCTCCCAAAGTCTAAAACTCACTTCTAAAACAAAGTTTATTCATGAGTACTGTTGGGACAATTTCTGTTTCTGGGAATTTAGGCCAAAAATGTGTAAAGCATAGCCTCGTGGAGCAGAGAGAACCCTTAAAAATCATCTTTTCTGACTGTCCACATATAAGGAAACTGAGGCCCAGGGAAGAGACAAATCATGGCCCCACAGCCAGTCTATGGTTGAGCTCAGGCTAGAATTTAAGTCCCTATCATTAATTCTCCTGGATGGGCAATTTCCTGGTGGTGTAACCCAGAAATACTCAAAGCAGTGGAGAAATAGTCTCTGTCCTGGCTTTGTGAGTCTTCTTAGATGAAAAGATGTAAATACTGGTTCGACCTATGAAATCAGAGAGTGCTTACCCTCTCTATATATTAAAAGCATATGTTTGATGCCTGGAACTCTGTAGTATAAAGTGAGAAGCAAAGGTTCCCTAAAAGAAGGTGAGATTTTAAAGACAAAAAAGGCTTTCTTTATGATTTGTAGTTAGGCAATTTGGTTATTCCAGATCAAACCTAGTTTGACAGGCCTAATTCATAGGGATTACCAGCTCTTCACTCTGCTCCAGCCAACCTGGCCCGTTGGCTCTGGTTTTTGTTGTTGGGCTTATCACAGTGCTTCCTCTGGTTTAGGCTGGCAACTGACCTTTGGATCTGGGACCCAACTGACTGTTGTACCTGGTAGGCCATCACATTTAAGTAATATTTTCACGAGTTTATTAATCTATAAATGTATAATATATATTTATGTAACATAATGGGCCTGCAGGTGGGGTGGGAGAGAAACTAACAACACATACTTTAAAAGGTAACATAAGAAGAGAATTATTTATCAAAGTCCAAAGAGAAAAAAGCCTTTTTTGCCAACTTTGGAATAGGAGTTGGTGAAAATGAATAGAAAAGAAGCTGCCCTAACCTAGAAGAATAACAGATTTCATAACGGGAACCTCTGTTTTTCATACTATTTTCACTAGAACAGGTGAAATGCTACAAGATGGTTTTAAGGGAAATTATCTTAAACCAAGTCTAGTTGGCCAGCTATGTTGCTAGCCCATCCTGGCTTATTTCTAAATAAGTTGCTAAACACAAAAGTGCCTATTTAAGATATTTAAATGAAGCTCTATTTCTATAGCTTTCTGGTGCCCTTCCAGCAAAGCATTCCTGTAACACACTGCTTATCATTTCTACGAGTAAGAACAAGTAAGCCCTTTGCCCTCCCAAACTGTATAAGTATTATAATTACTTGCTTTAGACTGAAGTCACCTCTATTTTATTTCTCATAACTGTGTTCATTTGTTGAGATTTGTTTAAATCCAAACAGTGTGGGCGTCTAACTGTTGGTACTGAGGTTTCCTTTCTCTTGAAAGTGTCAGCAAAATATTTTGCCCATAAATAATGTTTCATCTAGACTTGCAAATGACAGCCAAGTCTGCGGCCTCTTTTTTCCTCCCCCTTCCTAAAGGGAATATGCAGGCAGAGAGCAGGAAAAAAAGCCAAAACCTACAGTTTCATTGTGGGAGGTGGACAGGAGCTGTTAAAGTACATTTGGTTATATAATGGAGGTA